CTGGGCTAATATGGCACATGGCTATGGAACGGCTGCCTTTATGAACTACTTTACCAGTGGACACAGGTTGAGCTAAAGGTCCTTCACAGAGGGAAGATTCATGTCTGCCTGTGACACCGAGGGCTTCAGAGCAGGAAGCAGCAGCAGCTGTAGAGCCACCCCTCAGCAGCTGTAACTCATCAGCATCTGGACTAGGAATCAGGCTGTAGTCCTCCTGGTATTAAACACATCAAGTTACTCTCACTGCACTGAAGACCTTTTTCAGAACAAGAATGAAAACAAAGTTTGCATGTGGTATCTTCCATAAAATTACCATCCAACGAGCATTATCTTTGTGAAAATGAGATGACAGTGTGGCCGCTGGTTTTGAGCCTGCACTTGGACTCTCTCTCTCTCTCTCCCTCTCTCTCTTTGTGCTGAAGGAAATGAGAGATCCAGTTTAAAATGACTCACTGTTTCCATAAGGTCACTTTCTAACCCCTCAACGTCTGGCTGCAATAGTTTCTCCACAAACACAGTGTCATTATTAGTGTTCCCACATTAGCTGAGGAAAATCCATAAACTCTCTACTTTTTTGTCTCCTCACATCTGCCAGCTACATCACATTTGTGGCAGAGCTCAGTGTTGAGCTCTTAATGCAAACTGTGACTCCAGAGATGGGTTCTTTATCTGGCTGATGTCTGGGGAGCTGTACAAAGAGAAGGTAGAGAGTAGAGACATGAGTCATGTTGAAGAGCTCCAGACTCCGTGTTTTAAACCAGGAGAGGAAGCTGTCTGCCCTCTGAACAGACTGGTGGAAAATCCAGATCAAGCAGCCGCAGTCAGACATGAGCATGCTTTTTCACCATTGTCCCAGTTAGACTGTGCTTTTATGGCATATATGGAAAAGTGTGGAGCCTGCAATGAATTAGCTGAGAGGAGGGGAAAAAGTGAACGTCCTTCTCCGCCTTCTCCTGCTTCTTCAGGCTTGCGGTGAAGTACTACCCTGAAAACCACACTCTTCTTCCAGTAAGAGAAGTTTGAAATCTCTAAAAGTCCAACAGGAAAAATGACTCTCCAGCTCTGTGGTCAACAGCTCGGCCAGAATTCCCTGGTGCAATGGTTTTATGTCTCAGCAATGAAATACACGAAAGTTACACACTGTTTGTCCCCTGTCAAGATAATACTTACCTAAATGCGATTCCAACAAAACACAGTCCAGTTTGTTTGAGGATAAAGAAACAATAAAAGACTAACAAGAATTTAAATCCTGTCAGTCAAGCACTTATGGTATTTCTAGAGAACAGCTAAGCTTGTTTCTGTGAAACAAAATACTAGCTCATTATAGTTGAAAAATAAAAGTTTTCTTTACAAAAATTAGGATTTGTGGGTAAAGCGATTCCAAGCATCCTCACAAATGAAGTGAATTGCACCCTTGTGTTCCAGGCCACAGCTCAGACAGTGAGACATTACTGGCCGTTAAAAGGCAGGAAATTTCATTGCCAAACTGTGCTGTGTTTTTAGTCTCGTCGAATACTTTGCAGCTGACGGAGCAAGGATGGCTGAGAAAGTAAAACTTCATGTTGTATTTGCTCTAATCTATCCACAGGTAAAAGGCAGCACAGCTGGATGGAAGAAGTGCGGCGATAAGAGACTGTATGAAAGGCTGATGGCTGACCTAGGCCACATGGTTGTAACAGCTGAGCTATAAGATTCAATATAGTCTTTAAATATTCACTTTGCTAAGATGGACAGTTGTAAAAGAGTGCGTCTCGCAAAGGTATATCATGTTAATTAAATTAACACTTGCTGACATATGATGACATTCATAATCTTAGCAATGTTGTTATATGTATATTTTACCAAAACAGGAAAGAAAATTAATTAAAAAAAAAAGCCATGCTATGCATGGAAAGTAGATTCTGTATTCTTATCTACCCGTGCGTCTGCCATGTCATTGTGCATGGATACCCATACTTGTGAGATTAGATGTAATGATCTTAGCAGTGTCTGATTATGTGGTGCATTGTGCAGCATCCAGGCCTTGTGTTTCCCTTAACATGAGACATTTCAGAGGTCCCAGTGATGTCTTGTTAAGGCAAGTTTAGATGTAATTCATCACCCACATGCTCAGTCTGTCTGTATATGAACTTTGCTTGATCTTGTACCAACATGTGTCCTACCTGCTGTATCGTATTTTACAAAGGGGCCCTTCACTTCCTCACTGTGTATTAGCCCTATAGATAAACCTGAAATGAACTGCCTGAGTGGCCGATATCTTATTGTATTTTCTGCAGGAACATCACCATCACCATCTCAGTCCATTAGCTGTGTGACTCGGTAATATCTTATTGTATTTTATTGCAGGAACATCACCATCACCGTCTCAGTCCATTAGCTGTGTGACTCGGTGCGGTGTCGGGTGTAAAATACCTTTGATTTATACAAAATGATGTGTACACATGTTGTACTGTACACATGCTGTAGGTGGGATTTGAACAGCCAGATGTACAGTACAGTAGACATCAGTAAAGACCATGTGTCTAGTTCTGCCTCTGCTTGTGTGTTCCTGTATATTTGTCCTGTACAACTATTTTTGGCAATGTGTTTAAAGACAATGAGAGTCACTAGAAAGCTGAATCAAATTTCATAATGGATGTGCATGTGTGTGTTAACTTAAAGTACATGGCCAACAAAGGATTCTGAACAGTGGTGGGAAGTAACTAAGTACATTTACTCAAGTACTGTACTTAAGTACAAGTTTGAGGTATCGATACTTTACTTGAGTATTTCATTTTTTGCTACTTTATACTTTGACTTCAATACATTTTAGAACCAAATATTGTATTTTTTTACTCCGTAACATTTATATTATATTTAGTTACTAGTTACTAAGTAACACAAAATACCCAGCAGTAGTCGACACATTGCAGCACTAATGTGATGAACACTGCAATGTGTTGACAGTTATAATCCAATAATATGATATATGTTAATATAAAATGTGCTCTTCTGAATAATCAGTACTTTTTACTTTTGGTACTTTGATGCCAGTACTTTTATACTTTTCCTCAAATAACATTTTGATTGCAGAACATTTACTTGTACAGTAACAAATTATTTTTACACTGTGGAAAAGGAAGTGAGTACTTCTTCCATCACTGAATCTGAGTCTGATCATTAGTTTTTACATTTTACTGTTTTTTTTTTTGGCATTTCTTTGTTTGTTTACAGGCATTCGGGACAAAATATAGGTGACTAGGTGAATTCACTGCTTTTCTATGACCAACAACTTAGCCAACACTTAGAAGTGCTGTCAGCCTCGTCCACGTTGCTCTCACATAAAGTGAAAGCAACTCAATAGTTATGTGTAGCTACTTGGTCCCAGGCTTGTCTAACATAAACATAAATCTGGAACTGAGCCCTGTTAAAACATGATGTCTTGATGTAGAAGGCCTCAGTAAAAGCAGGCTCTTACCTGATTTACTCTGTTCTTTTCCTTGGAGGATTTCCACAAGAAGGAATGAAGTGTGTTTTCTCCTAGTCCCTAATAAGATAAGATAAGATGAATCATTATGAGTATCACAAAGGGGAAATTCACAAGGCTACAGCAGCAAGAGGATAGAAAGAAGGCAATCAGTGGTAATGTAACGTCTCTTGACATAACACAGAATTCCAAGTTTTCATCAGTACTTATAGCTCACCTATGTAACTTCCTATCTTCTGGAGTTGGCTAAAGTAATTTACCTGCATTGTGAAGTTCGGAGCTGCCACCTGCTGTTTATATCAGGAACAGGTAAAGGCTGCAGACAGATGTGGGCTCATCCCTGCTTATACCAGACACACCCTGCAGCAGACAGGGACCCTCCCTCTATACGTGCAACTGATTTCCTGATCATATATTCTACAAAGAAAAAAAAACAAAGATGAATTTTGATATTTTCAGTTTTTGTAAATAGATTCAACTGTCGCTAACTTTCTTCAAGTACCAGGGGTCACGTTATTCTCCTTTCAGTCATTTATGAAGTACAGATCAAAACGTGGTCAACCTTGAAACAAAAGTGGTTGGAGAGACATCTTGAAGAAACTGGAGTTTGGCTGCAGGTTTTCTTCTCTGAACACGACTCAAGTGTTTGAGATGCTGCCACTGGAGGAAACAATGTCATGCTGGAGACTTCACTGTATCAAAGTGCTGCGTTTTCCAGACCTGTGTTCTCTGACAGTTTGTGCAGAATAGTGGAAGTCAGTGTTTCATATTACACCACAAAGTGTACGGCAGACATGTTTACATAAAGTATACAGTACATTGTTGTTGTTTGTTTGTTTGTTTGGCAGTATACTGTGTACAGTACAGCTCCACATTTTGTTTTCCTTTAGGTTTTTAGATTCTATTTTTTAAATAAATTTTCCCTATAAATGAGAGTGCTAGTTAAGATCATAGCTTTAACATTTAAAAACATATCATGAATACTTTTGCTGCTATAAATTTTTGCAGCTATCAAACAGAGTATATAGTCACTCAGAACCGGATCCCCTGAGGCGGCCGCTCCAAGGAGGAATAAAGTGTTTTCATTTCCAATGGCATGATGGAGAGATGGTGGCCCACTAGTCAGCTCTTCCATCTCACAGAAGCCTTCTGTGCTTGTGTTGTGACCCTAAACAGAAAACAGGGTGAACAGAAGATGAATAAATGATTGTTACTTTGTTTGCCTAGGTAAAAGATTCAAAATGTGATTTGACATTGTAACAGGTTAAAAGTTTCAATATGTTGCCACATGATTGTTTTCTGTCAACCCCCTAAAGGCCGAGTATGACATTTAGCAAAGTTACATTTTGACCTGTTTGTTTTCATTCACTGGAAATTGGTTTCCATGTCAAAAAGATCATAATTAGGACTGTCTGCCTGGCAAACCTTTTGTGGACAAAATGTCTGGATAAAAATGTGATGCCTTTGTTGCCTTTGCTTTCAGTTTAATTGACACAAAGCTGATTAAAGTATCCTCCACCTCTGTGTGTTCCAGACGATGCCAAAAGCTGCAAAGCAGATGGCCAGGTGTACACGAACCAGGACATCTGGAAGCCGCAGCCATGCCGGATCTGTGTTTGTGACAACGGTCAAGTCCTGTGCGATGAAATCCAGTGCGAGGAGCTGAATAACTGTGAGAAAATGTACGTACCTGAAGGCGAGTGCTGCCCTGTGTGTCAGACGGACCCACCCAACGGTGGAGGGACGGGCACGTTTGGTGAGTGGACAGTTACTCTCTGTGGTCATTTGACAGGTTTAGAAGTGAAAAACTGTAAGAAACTAACTTTTAATGTATGATGTTCTATTGTCGGTGAAGCGTGCACCGATTTGCTCACAGGGTCTCACACGCACATGTAAAAATGTAAACTTTAAAATCCTCAAATGAGGACAAGCAATACATTCCACAGGAAGATCATTAAAACAAGTCAAAGAACCTACCAAGGCATTTGAATCAATAGCAGCAATAATATTAATGAAGGATGTTTTGCTTTTGATAGGTTGTCAGTGAACGGATCAATTTGTCTGAAACAATGAAGAAATCACTGCCATTATTAATCATGCTGAGAATGTTAAGTGACCAGCTGGCCTTTGTTTACACTGACTGACTTGCATAATGGCGACAAATGAATCTCTCTGGGAGCTCTCACATGCTGGAGAGGTCACTCCAGCATGTGCCCAGCATCCTCATCCATGCCGCTGATTATTTAAAGAGGAGTTTTGTTACATTTCTCTGTGTAAATAGTATGATGAACAAGCAATGTGATCATGTGTGCTTTTTCCTCAATGCAGACGGGACCAGGATCTATAAGGTAGGTCACAGTTTTATGGTGTTTCTGCTTTATCATTTGTTTGGTGTTGTTTTGACCATCATGTAATATAGGTTTGAAAGATCCTGTGATTTGTCTGTTTATTCAGGGTCAGAAGGGTGAACCCGGGGATGTCCCACTTGTGAGTGTCTGCTAAATAAAAATCTTTTAGGCCAAAAAAGGGTCACTGTAAAGCCAGAATCTAACCGCTGTGTTTGATGACTTCCCTGCAGGTGACTGGTATTAGAGGCCGCCCTGGACCTATGGTGAGAAACTTGGTTGTTTAAGGAGTCAGGGTAATGATTTCTTGATTTCTTGGAAGCTTCTGTAGATGTTTCCCAGTTTTGTGTGAATGTTCAACGACCTGGTTTGACACTAGATGGCATGAGAGGACAGTTACCTCCTGCGTAACTTCGCCTTAAAAGGACGTCTGCTCAACTTTAAGCATCGCTGTGACAAACATTATAATGAAATACATCACATCATTGTGATGTAATTGTAATATCATCACTTGGTTCATCAGTTGGTTCTTTTTGTTTACTACACCAGGGACCTCCCGGCTCACCAGGAGGAAGAGGACCATATGGAAACAAAGGAAGGCCTGTATGTCTCATCCACATGTCTCCACAGGACAAACACTAGACTTAAGTTAAAGTTAAAATGTTAGATAGTAGATTATACAGAAACGTCCACACTTTGTACAAGTAGGGTGCTCAAATGTTAGAAGGCATATGGCTGTACACAGTATAATAAAGCAGCATAGTTATTTTATGTGTTACAATAGACATTAACTAGAGATCAACATTTTAGAGTCTAAAGTTTAATTACCTCAAGTATAGTACACTCATGTTTGTGTATCTTATAGATTTTAACACTGTTGTTGTGTATGGAGTCTGTTAGGCTTTAGTCTATTATAATAATATCTGTTTTACCTCTATTATTAATGAAATGGTTAAACATAGCATTGTGTCTATAGTGTATAAGCCACGTGAAGCTCCCTTCACATTTCACATGACATCTGACCTGCCCCTGATTACAGGGGTCATGAGAATCACCCTGTTACTCCTCACACTGTCACGACAGTCAACCTAAAATTATACTCCGGTATACAGGGATATTTTTCACTTTAAGGGCTAGAGACCAACAGTCCCAATGTAATGTAATGTGGAAAGATGATGTAGAATGTACTTACCAAGCAAAATGCAGCAGGTTGATGAATGAACGTGCCCCTCTTGGTGGAGCTGCAGTCCAGTTGATGGCAGCACTCTGAGGGTGATTTATCAGTACATTTAGTACATAACCAGTGGTTTGTCTCACAGCGTGTGGTTCACTGAAAAAACCTACAGTAAGCAAATCAAAACAAAAACTGAAATTAAGTATCATTTATAGAAAACTGGAATGAGAGGCTCCACTATGCATCTTGACCAAAGCAAAGTATCCTAGAAAAAGGGATACGGCATATTTTAAGTTAGCAAAGTTAGAATTCAAATAAAATGCTGCCACATAGCCACAAACCATTATTCAGTGTCAGGCCAGGCATAGTAACAAACTGCTTTTTAAACAAGTGCATCAGCATCTCTCTCTCTCTCTCTCTCTCTTTGTCTGTACTTTATAGGGACCACGGGGCTCTCCGGGTTATGATGGAGAGCCAGGGGTGCCAGGCCAGCCTGGTGAGCCAGGACCTCCAGGACATCCGACGCACCCAGGAGTGAGTTGTGCATGCTGTAAAGGCACATATGTGCAGATAGTGTAGATGCATGCGCTGGCCTAAACAACAAGAGCAGACACAAGGTAAATGTGGTCAGAGGACGTGGAGAATTGTTGCACACACCTTAGACACAAATTTACACCGGTGTAGTTTTTAATTGGATAACGGCCCCTGCCCTTGATGGGCTTTCCATTTGTCTCGTCATCCTTCTTTATATGCACATAGTGTGTAAACTAACACATAGTGATGAACCACATAAAATCCTGATTAAGGCTGTCTGCTTCACCTGCAGGGTCTGGGATCCCAGATAGCTGGAGTTGATGGGAAAACAGGACCCCAAGGCATGTTAACTGGCTCAAGGGTAAGAAGAAACTTTAATTTGTCAATGTTTCTTACACTGCTTGTCCACAAACCAGACTAAAGGGCTCTTTATCTTTTATTTAAAATGTGGTTTCAGTTATCTATTTTTCTGCTTGTAGCTTTGGAAGGGAACAGTGACAGGTTGTCGGAGGTGCAGCGTTCTAAACATGTGCACTGAATGCTCAGTCTTAGTTAATGCATCTTTAGCGTAGGCTCGAAGGATAAAAGGTGTATGTTGTACAGACTGTAACGCACTATGAATCTCAACACAAACTATTAGCAAATCACTTTCTACCTAGGGTCTGTTATTTCATTTAAAATGTCTTCAGCTTGTGTTGTGTCTGATTGCCGGCACATTTCTTCTTTTTCTAAACATAATGATTTAGACTTAAAAGAGTACAATTTAGTTTTGCACTTTTATAAAGTCGGGGCATTTGAGATCTGTTCAAGAAAGGTTCAAATCAATGCAGCAAATGCTCTCACACCTCAGCACAACACATCTCCTTTAAACATGAATATTAAGTAGTATTGTTTGCTGTTTTTCCAGAAGTAGTTTCTGACAATAACACCACTGGACCTTTGAATCTGCTAACCATCACACAAACACATCCACTCAGTAGACTTGTTGGATCAAACGTGAAAAACCATTGTTGTTCAGTTGCTATAGGAGGAGACTGGGCATCACGGTGATTATACGAGCATTTTCAGCATTAATACATAACATGCTGTGACGATTATTTACCTTTTGAAACTGCAAATGAGAAATTACCTGCATTAATCTCAGTGTATGTAATGACAGAACTGGCAGGTTTTTGAAAGTGAACAATTATTTTTGATTAAATGCTGAGCTCCAGAAAGAATACAGACCATTAGGTTTTTAGTTTTAGAACTTGTCAGCGATTGGCTTCAGATTAGAATTTATTTACTCTTGTTTTAATTAAAAGGTACATTATACATTTTAATTATACACGACCGAACCACGATGGCAGACTTTTAAAATGAAGCCATGCTTCTAACTGCATTAGCATGCAGCAGTGAGCATAAAGACAAGAGGTGGCTACTTTTTTGATAATTCTTTTTAAAGTTGGACACATTTTGATAAGTTTTGAGATGTTTGACAGTCAGTGAGATTTTCACAGGTTCTGCCAGCAAAGCAACAACACATATGCTTGAATAGAACACTGTGGTGTGTGTGAAAGCTGGTCGCTGGGAAGTGGATGAGTAACTAAAGAACTCTTTTCTGTGCTTTGACAAACATGTCCATGGGTTCATGAAGTTTCTCATTTAAAAAAATAATCCACCAAACAAATACTCCTCCTGAATTTCTCAGAGACTGTCAGTTCACTCCATCCTTGTATTGTTTCCACGATGTTTCATTATTTATGCCCTTTATGCAGATTAGGTCGAGTTCTGCTCATCATTTGATTTTGCATCATGTTTTCTTTTAGGGAGAGGCTGGAGCACGAGGACCTCCTGGGCCCGTCGGCTCGCCTGTGAGTCTACAACGTCCTCAACAAGCGCAATAAACACTAATAATATTTCAGTGGCATTTTGTTGTTTTGATTTGGTCCGTCTTTATAGTTTACATGCTCTATTATTTCCCTGCCACCTCTAAGGGCCAAGCTGGACCACAAGGACCTCCTGGAGAAGTTGGTGACCCAGGACATTTGGTAAATGTCTTCAATACAATTCAATACAGTATATATATAGAAGGATAGATAACTATAGTTATAGATATATAGATATTTTATATTGCTGTGAGGAGTTTCAGAAAGTGGATGTTTACAATCTACCTGCATGTTCCAGGGTCCATCTGGCCAAAGAGGACCTGAGGGCCCTCCAGGGAAGCCAGGTGAAGATGTAAGTCAGCTCTGGCCTGTTTGTCTGTCACAAACATTAGGGTGAAACTATTCACACTCTCTCTTACTTTGTACAAACTGCAGAAGTCAAGTGCTACTGAGTAATTCTTTATATTCACCTAAGTGTGTCCAGCCTAGAGTAGTTGAGTGTAAATTTCTAAATCATTCATTAGTATTTCCCGCAGTTTGACAGACCTGACTGCATTCATTACATTTTGAAGTGGAAGATCCTGAAGCTGCTTGACAACTGGAGTACATGATGACTTATAGCTGAGTTTGTCGTTATAATTGCGTCTCATCAGTGACACGCAAACGTTTCCAGCAAGACTGAGTCTAATTTATATTCAAATACATTATGTAAGACAAAATAAAAGACCATGGTTGGGGACAGTGTCATAAAATTGGCATAATAAAAGGATTTAGTTTCTACAAGAAGTCAGCCTTAATTGTACATGTTTCTAAACATCGTGAGAGCAAATCAAAGGGAACAAAATGTGGAAAACGATGAACAACAACAAACCATCTGTATCCATGTGTAAGTCAGTTCAGATACAAGAAGTCAAAAGCTTAATACAGAAAGAAGAAGAGAGAAGAGTTTTGATGTGTGACATATTTCACTTCCACTGCCGATGAAGTTTGAAATGTGTAAATGTCATATTCTCTCACAGGGAGAACCAGGCAAATCAGGAAATTCTGGAGAAGTTGGCTTCCCTGGATCACCAGTGAGCTTCTCCCCAATATGCTTCTATCACTGCAAATATTATAGCCCAACCTAGAATTCATAACTTCTACTGTTGATTTTAATCAGTCCTCAGTCAGTATAACTGACTGTGCTGTTTTATGTTTCAGGGGGCTAGAGGATTTCCAGGTACACCCGGGCCTCCTGGACTGAAGGGTCACAGAGTGAGTATGAATTGTCTTAATCATTCAGGAACATGTTACTAAATTATCTTTAAAAAGCATCATTTAACATGCCTTTGTTTCCCCTGACTGGACTGTTGCACCACAATGATTTTTGGAAGCCTTCAGATAAACATTTTTAAAAAAGTACTTTCATTCCTTCTTTTACTTCTGTTCTGTTACTTATTTTCCAAACCCTTACTAAAGAACACGTAGCAGTGCACTCATCTCAGCTGTTACCGGCCTGTCCTCTGTTCCTGTTAACAGGGCCACGGTGGACCACTTGGTCAAAAAGGAGAAAATGGAGCTGTTGGATCCAAGGTATAAATGAAGTAAAAATCAAACATGTTGTGTTTGTTTGTTTACTTGTTTTCAGTCTCTTGGTTTATTGACTTTATCTGCCTGTTATCTTATTACAATGAAACAAGTTAATGTTCTGTGGTTTTCTAGGGCGCCCTAGGGCCTCCTGGTCCAATGGGAGCACCTGGACCCATGGTAAGTTACATTTTTAAAACTGAAGTTTCTAATGCTTTCTTTGTCAATGCATCCACAGGAGCTAGTGAATGCTTAAAGACGTCTGACACACACAAGCTACCTGGTGCAGCTCATATTATACAGCTGATTATGCTTCTGAATGTATGTGGGCTACAGTTCTACTTTTTGCATCTGCTCTTATCTATAATGAGGTGGAGCTGTATCCAGTGACCTGCAAATAAACCTCTGAACTTAGCCGAACTTTAAACTAAAATTGGGGACAGCTGTAATTTATCACTGTCTGTGTATAACAGGGTCCTGCTGGGATGCCAGGGGAGAGAGGAAGGTCTGGACCCAGCGGTATACCAGTAAGGATGATCACCTACCATAATTAGGCTTGTTTTTCTCTCCTCTGTCACAGAGGAAGTAACTGGTGAATGTACTCTTACTGATATGCGCATTATACCTTTTTTTTTTAGCATCAGCTATTTGTAAGCCAGGACACTCACAAAGACAGAGTCAAACATCAGCGTTATATTATGGTCTATAAGTCAAAGTGATTAGTTTTTGTCTTTTAGGGTAAACGTGGATCACCTGGTAATGTTGGAAAACCTGGTCCAATGGTGAGTCAGCATTCTTGTTTTACTCTTGTGGATTTACTGTAAACTTCAGCGAGCAACATGGCTTTATTAACCAGTTTAATGTAGCTGCACATGTACAAATGCAGGCTACCACTCACACAATTAAAAAGTTTCACCCGCAGACCTGAGTGTAATTATCACTGTTGTTGGTTAACAGGGTCCCTTGGGTCTCAGTGGCCCACCTGGATATCCAGGAACCCCAGGAATGAAGGCAAGTGCGGTCAAACAGATGGCAGATGAGGGAATTGCCCTTCAGCAATATGCTAACACTAATGGGCTCTTTTAATGACACTTCAGTGAGGACTGAACAACAGTCTATTAACTGAATAACGATTCACTTACTATTATCTATTATTACATGATCTATTACTATCATCTGCTTTTGTTTGAGATCTACTCTGCGTATACAGACTAGAAGCTGAACTGTCAGTTAATTGGTGGTTGTCATCCACAGGGACAACCTGGCCCCACAGGAGTACGGGGTCCTGAAGGCCCACAAGGACAGAGAGGAGAGACTGGACATCAGGGCAGAGCTGGACCAGTTGGCCTCAGGGTTAATTTCTTGCTTTACTTATGTTTATACATCACATACAGCACATATTAATGCATAAACCTTTTGATCTGCTGTAGTGGGAAAAATCCTCATGATCAAATGGTAATAGCTCGTTGAGTTCATCACAGCTCAACATATTGCTAAATGCACTGCTTTGGTGATCTAATCAGAGAACATTTGTGTTCAAAGGGACCTGCAGGTGGAGATGGTGGCCCAGGCGCGAAAGGACCAGTGGTATGTACACAGTCATCTAATTTGGTCAACAAAAATATTTATGATACAGATACACCGAGGTCACATATAACATGGATGAATATTCACAGGGCCATCTTGGTCCACAAGGTCCAGGCGGCCATCTTGGACCTCCTGGACCACCAGGACCTCAGGGCAGCACTGGCCAGCCTGGTATCAAAGGGCAACTGGTAAACTGGCTTTAACTTTTATAATTTCTTGAGTTTTTTAAATGGATTTTTAAAAATCTCCTTAATATTGTTTAATAATAACGTTTATGTTATAGGGAGATGTTGGTGTACCGGGATTTAAAGGAGAGGCTGGACCCAAAGGAGAACCTGTAAGTTCTTAATAGATCTGCAGAAACAACTAGGTTTTAATTTAGTTTTGAGGCAAATAGTGTAATTTATCTGAATAAAAGACACACTTGGAAATGAATACTGTTTTCATTAGAAATCTTTAAACAGGGACATGTAATATAAGGAAGGTGACAGATAGAATGCCTCTTGGTCTCAAGTATATTGAGGCTTGTGTGTCCACACTCTAGGGCCCGCCAGGCTCCCAGGGAGTGATTGGACCTCAGGGTGAAGAAGGAAAGCGAGGACCACGTGGAGACTCTGGCTCTGTCGGCCCTCCTGGTCCTGTCGGTGAGAGAGTGAGTCAGCATACTGCCTCCTACACCAACATTCCTCAGTCAAAGAGAAGCACTGCGGGGGACAGGGGCCATCGTAGCAATGAATTCAATCTAGAAAACTCATTATTGTGTAGAAAAGAAAACTCTGAAATCCAATGAATCAGCTTCGGTAAACTAGTGTGTGAAATTGGAAATGCTCCATTTGTGTAGAGAATATACAGTATGTATTCATAAATAATGGCAAATATGATAGTTAGCACTGCCATCTCGCAGCTAAAAGGTTGTGGATTTGAATCCAGTCCAAGGTAGCTGTAAACTGTTGTGTCTGTGTGGGTTTCCTCCTGCCACAGTCCAAAATGTAGGTGAATCTAAATTCTCATAGACTCTAGGCTAGCCTCACAATGGGCCTGCACAAAGTAAACTCTATGTATAAGATAGACAAATGGTGGTTTTCCTTTCTATTTTTCACACAATTATATAAGCAACCATTTCTGCTTAGGGGTCTTTTTAAATACAAGGAAATTGTCTTTACGCCACTGATCCAGTACGGTGCAAATGCAGCCAACCCTTTGTGTGAGACTACAAATATAAACATGATGTAAATTCTAACTGGATGTGATTTGTAGGGCGCTCCTGGTAACAGAGGATTCCCTGGTGCTGATGGGCTGCCTGGACCTAAGGTACAGTGCGATTTAGACTTAGATTCTAGAAAGTCCACATACATACATGTAATAATAGTGCATCATTTATTTTGCACTCATGTTATTGGCAGCAAATTGAATGTATTACTCTCTATATTTTTTCTGAAGGGTGCTCAAGGAGATCGAGGAATATCTGGCCTACCAGGACCTAAAGGTGCTCTCGGAGACCTTGGCCGTACAGGAGAACCTGGTCTACCAGGTGCAAGGGTAACACTGCAGAGCTTGGCATTTTATTGTTGAGCTATAATACCTGTTAATTCCTTCACTACATTTACTATGTTCACTTCTATCTCCCCAAGTTTGATTATTTACATTTTTATCTCTTTTCCAAAGGGTCTTACTGGTACCCCTGGAGTCCAGGGGCCAGAGGGTAAGCCAGGACCACTGGTAGGTGAAGGCTTTCTTTATACATACTATATAATGTTTTGAATTAGTTTCTCCAAGATCACTTTAAGGGTATGATAAATTATCAGTGATGGTTAAGTCAAAGTATGGTTTGCTTTGAATTAAGGGTGCCCCTGGTGAAGATGGTCGTCCAGGTCCTGCAGGGTCCATTGGAAACAGAGGGCCCACAGGAATCATGGGAGTACCAGGACCTAAGGGCTTCAGTGTAAGGCTGTGGAGTCACTCTGATCTTTGCATTAGCAGCCAGTCTAGTCAGTTTGTTTAGCTTCAGTTTTGTTTCTGATTTAAAACGTGTTATTCTCATAGGGTGACCCAGGAAAGACAGGTGAACAAGGATCTCCAGGAGTGTCTGGTCAAAGAGTGAGTACTATTATTGAATGAAAATTGTGGGGTTTATTTGTTTTGACAGCACATCTCCATTCATAGGTCTGTCAGTAAGGACAGCAAGAATACAGTTTGCATACTGAGTTAGCATAATGTAAACTGTATTTACTGACAGCATGTTCTGTCTGTTCAGCTGACTTCATTGTGTTGTGCTTATTACATTCCCTTATTGATTTTGTGTCATTTTACCTTCGCTTTGATTCTACAGCCATCCACAGAGATCATTAGTGCCATCTAAATCTAATTTCAGTTTACCTAAAACTCCCACACACCTTTATAAGATCGAGCAGACTGGTCCCTTCCAGATGTGGAATGTGCAGTTTTTTATTTGTCACTTTCTCTTCAGGGTCTGCCTGGAAAAGATGGAGAAGTCGGCCCTGCCGGCCCCCCTGGTCCACCAGTGAGTGTCTGGTTTCTCTTTTGTTATTTTAACTGAATTTTTACTGCTATCATAAACGACATCAATGTCTCCTTTCAAAGGGTGTTGCAGGAGAGAGAGGAGAGCAAGGACCTCCAGGTGTAAATGGATTCCAGGTATTTGAATATTTTTGGCTGGTAGTAAATGTGAGAATGTTCTTGTAGATTATGAAACTGGACTTGGGGAAATGTGGCAGGATGTGGTGGTCCTGGAAATAATTATACAGTACCGTAGTCTGTGCTGCAGAAGTGCTGTGATGGTCACGACTGACAATTCTTTTGTGCTTTTAGGGTTTGCCTGGAAATCAAGGCCCTCCTGGAGAACCTGGAAAACCAGGTGATCAAGTGAGTATGACAAAAATGTTAAAATTCTGCTTAAAGCTGGGTCACATATCGTTACATTCATTTAATGTTAATCAGTGTCCTAACACTTTTTACATCACTTTTTACCAATGATGGTAAGATGATGTCAGGGGTAGGACTGGATAAGTCTGACGACTTCCTACTCCATTCAAGCATGTTCTAGGTATAAGCAAATTGATATTGGATTATGTGTATGTGTGTTGCCATATCAACTGTTTTTACATGCTTGAAAGAATAAATCAAATCAAATCAAATCAAATCAAATCATTTGAACCGTCATATTTGGAGCTCAATCATGATCAGGATTCAGTTTGGACTCAACAAATAAAACCATTCTTTGTTATTGTCAGGGTATTCCCGGAGAGCTCGGCGCTGTGGGTCAGATTGGACCAAGGGTAGGTGAATTTCCCAGTGACTAACTACTGTAAATGCATTTCAGTTTGTCTGGGGCAGATAGTGATGCTGATTACCTGAAACTGAAACTGATGTTTTTTTCTACAGGGTGAACGTGGAATTCCTGGAGAGAGAGGAGAACTTGGTCCAGTTGGTCTGCAGGGACCTAAAGGAATACCTGGTGCACCTGGTCCAGATGGCCCAAAGGTACTGTACACTGCCATGAAATGTAAAGCAAATGATTTGTATTGGTCATGCAGGAGAACTAGAATTAGATCATTGATAGAGAGATAAAGACTGACCTTGGTGTTTGTCTATACAGGGTAGCCCTGGTCCTCCTGGTGCACTCGGTGATGTGGGTCCTCCAGGCCTTCAGGGAATGCCAGGAGAGAGGGGCATCTCTGGGCCTCCTGGGCCAAAAGGTGACAGAGTAAGTTCATCATTAACTTTTTCATGCTGTTGATTTTTACACATAACTGATGTTTTATAGTGCACAAAACTAACAAGTGTTTCTTGAGTGAACATTGGGTTTATTTATGTCGTTGAAAAACCGCACCCAATTTGTTCCTGTGGAAATGTGCTCTAATAAGATGTCAAATGGCTTAAAGTTGGAATAAAACAGTCTGAGTTGTCAGTCGTGTTCATTTCTTAGTTTGAACTCAGTGTCATACTGCCAGCTCTCAATAAATGGGCCTTACACTTTTTGCTCTCTTTATACAGGGAGCAGTTGGTGAGAAAGGATCAGAAGGTACACCTGGCAATGATGGCGCAAGAGTAAGCAAAACATCTTTCACTCCCTGCAGAGACATTTATTGTCCATGAACAAAGAAGTGAAATTTACGCTTGTAAGATAAAATAAATAAATAAATAAATGCAGCTGATGATCTGTTGGTGCAAGCTCCAGGCTTGTTGCACCTTGTGCATAGAAATGTGTCTACTGGTGTGATATGAAAAGTTACTCCTAACGGTGATGAGCACATATCCCCAACCAGATTTTTCTTCCTGTCAACAGGGGGCCCCAGGTCCTCTTGGCCCACTGGGACCTGCTGGACCTAGTGGTGAGAAGGTAGAGTCTTTTCTTTCTTACAAAGCTGCTATTCATCACAGAGATTCAAGGTTGTGACTGCAGTTGATATTAGGGAAGTGTCACTTCCCATGATACCCCTAGTGTTGTTAATCCTTCTGCTTCCCATTTTCTTGGCTGCACCTGAAAACATCTTCCTGCCTGTGAATGACAGTCATTGAATTAAATTGATTTTGCAACATAAAACACTGGATTTATAGACAACACAGACACGGTAAATTATAGCAGACATTATTTCCCCTACATGTGTGACTTTGCAGGGAGAACCTGGACCCAAAGGACCAGCTGGACCTGTAGGATCCAGAGGAATGCCTGTGAGTAAACCTTGTACATTAAATCTAGTTTGGTCTTGTTTTTGCACTACAGCATATGAATTATCAGTTATTTCACAGTGCTTTGACCAAAATCAAAAAATGTATGCTTTACTACAGGGATCAAGAGGTGATCCTGGCCCAATTGGTCCTGTTGGATTTGCTGGACCCCCGGTAAGTAGTTAAAACAGTCCTCCTGGCTTTATTTCCTAAAACTATTTATGACTAGTAATGGTTCTCTAGAAGGTGTTGATGGGTTCAGCTATTTGATCTGCTTCAACATTTCCATACCCACACTTTACAGGGTCCTGATGGCCAACCTGGAGTCAAGGGAGAGCCTGGAGAGCCAGGCCAGAAAGGAGATGCTGGATCACCAGGACCTCAGGGCTTGGCTGGTTCCCATGGACCTCCTGTGAGTTGCAAAGATACTACATACAAATTGTTACACCTTTTTTATGCAGATTACCTACTGATATTTTAAAGTGTTGTCACCTGTATTGTTATTTGGTTCAGTTTGGAAGGGTTTTGTATCAATTACTGCTGATTGATTTATCATCTGTTGTCAGGAGGAGTTTGTTGCAAATATGCTGCTGATAAAGGATTTTCTAATACATTGTTGTTTTTGTAGGGTCCAGTTGGTGTTGCTGGACTGAAAGGTGGAAGAGGAACACAGGGTGCACCAGTAAGTTACTGTTACAAAGTAACATGAGCACAGTTTGGGTATCACTCCTAAACATTTAAAGCAGATTTTAATGTCTGATTCATTTAAAAAAAACTATTTTTTATGTCACTTTTTTTCAAAAGTAGATTTACATTCTGTTATAAAACCTGTAAAACAGTGTGTCAGTGCCTTGTATCATTTTTCTGCTCTCACCAGGGTCCCACTGGCTTCCCTGGCTCTGCAGGAAGAGTCGGACCACCAGGCCCAACTGTAAGCATTGTCACTGTGAATGAAAACACATTCAGCATTCCAGGGAGAGCTGTTTGTCGTATAAGATTAAGATTGTACCACACCAATGTCTAACCTCTGTTCAGAGCCAGATACTTTATTAAAACTGTCTGTGAACCAAAGCTTTGTATGGAAATCTACAATTTAATCCTTCAAACTAAAAGTAAGATATAAGTTTGGAAGAGGTTCTGAATGGCTACCATGATGTAATCCTTACTGAAATCACATTACTAATATAGGAATACTGACTACAGTCTTCTTAAGTGAATCTACAGGAGACTCATCACTCAGCACTGTTTGGTCTCACTAGTGTACCTTCATGTTTGTACTGCCGACTGTGTATCTCATGACCGTAACCACTTCTGCCAGGGTCCACTTGGAGAACCTGGACCTCTGGGACCTCCTGGGAAAGAGGGTCCTGCTGGTCTCCGTGGAGACAATGGATCGCCTGGAAAGGCAGGAGAGCGAGGACCACCCGGGCCACCTGGCAGCCCTGGAGACAAAGGAGACTCTGGAGAAGATGGACCCACGGTAAACTGTTGTTCTAGTCATGGCAAACTGCCAGTTTCACACTGGGACCACAGACAAACTTTTCTAAAGTGGAATATTGCCAACAACAAGTGTCTGCTGTAACTAGCTAGGAACAAAATAGCACTTTGTTTATCCTTCTGAGTGTCTGAATTGATCTGTGCTGTTGTGGTAAAATAGTCACAATTCTAATGAAAAAGAATAAGCTGTTTCAGTTGAAACCTCAGTCGACCTATTTATGGATCTCAGCCTGCTGTTTTTATTGAAAGAACCTGATGATATCTATGGATTATACTGGTACCTCTTGAGCACATACTGACTTCAACTATGCAAAGCTGTAGGTGGTGTTATTCCCAACCAGATATATTTTATTTATTTGGAACCTCAAAGCAATAACTTTATAAGTGGCTCATATCAGTATTGACTCTAAAGATGTTCTGTGTGTCTCGATCTTGTCTTTAGGGTCCTGATGGTCCTCCAGGCCCAGCTGGAACTACAGGACAGAGAGGCATCGTGGGTCTTCCAGGTCAGAGAGGAGAGCGTGGGATGCCAGGCCTTCCAGGACCGGCGGTCTGTATTATTCAAGGCCTGATTCTACTGCACACAAGCTTCTTTCTTCATCTATATGACTAAGTTCAACACTGGGACTTTCAGTCATTTTAACATGTATTTTCTTTCTTAGTAAACACTGATGTGTGGTAGTTGTAATGGTCCTTTAACTGCTGTGTTGTGAGCTTCTTGTTTCCTTTTCGCAGGGTCCACCAGGAAAACAGGGATCCACAGGATCCTCTGGAGAAAAAGGCCCCCCAGGCCCAGTTGGTGTTCCTGGTGCTAATGGACCTCGTGGTGATCCTGGTCCTGATGTAAGTAGAAGTTTCAAATTCTTTGTGGTTCTTAAGTTGCATTACCCCATGTGTGTCTCTGATGTCTACAGTTCCCCTCATGTGTTTGTGTGTGTTTCCCAGGGCCCTGCAGGATCTGATGGCCCACCAGGAAAGGATGGTGTTCTTGGACAAAGGGTAAGAGGCAAAAAGGATTCACGTACTGTATGTGCTGTTGTACAAATATCGAGAGACTGACAGGTGTCACTTTTCTAGGGAGGCCGAGGAGATCCTGGTCCAGAGGGCCTGGTTGGCCCACAGGGACTTCCTGGCCCTCCAGGTCCTGTTGGTGCACCAGGTGATGCTGGCAGGAGAGGAGATGCTGTAAGTGGATGTTTGTTCTGGGTGATGGTTTCCCTCACTGTCCATCAGCAGGATGCAACAGATTCACACTTGTACTATGAACACATACATTCTGGGGGTGGACTTGATTTAAGCCCCGAGGGCATGTTGGGACATGAAGTGACAGAAATGAAATGATATGTAATTACATATAAGTGTGTTTTGGTGCAGGCAGAGCTCTGTGCTCTCTGAGGGCCATGTAATGATCCGACTCATTTGCAGGGCTCAAGAGGACCCGTTGGTCCACCTGGCTCAGCTGGAAAGAGAGGATTAGTGGTGAGTATCCAACTTAAAACATCATGAACCCACAATGAAAACTTTCCCCTTTCAAAACAAATATCATGACATCATGGTGTTAAATCTTTCTTAACTCAGGGACCTCAAGGACCAAGAGGTGATAAGGGAGATCTGGGTGATCATGGAGAGAGAGGGCAGAAGGGACATCGAGGTTTCACTGGATTGCAGGGTCTTCCCGGACCTCCAGTAAGTCAGTGTGATGCTCAGCAACCACAAGTTGCTTAGTGCATATTACGTACAGTATATACAGTAGTTAAACGGTTTCTCCTTCACACAACTTTAACACAGAGCACCACCCAAGTGCAGGTAGTGAGTGATTTCACTTGAGCGTCTCCTGCTCTCACTATTGCTCCTGATAAGAGAAATCATGTTTGGTTGGCTCAGCTTCTGTGTGAGAATATGTAGTACAGTGGTAACAACACTCCATCATGGCTGCATTAACAATTAAAGGTCAAACTAGGTCAGTCACCTGCTGCACCTGCCTCTAAAAACCTTTTACAGTATCACTGAAGATTCGTGACTAACTGAGCACCAAACATAAAGTTAAATAAATGCTCTCAGTTATTATTAATCGAGACTCAGCTAATCTGCTTTAGAGTAGGTGCAGATGGGTTTTCAGCTCCTCAACTGTCAGCTGAGTTTGATTCAAGCAGTCAGAGAAATAGAAAAAAAATGTCCCCTGCTTTAGGACACCACCATATGATTTGGTTGTTTACTTGAACAGTTGGACAATGCATTTGCCCCACAAGTGTCTGTGTAACTTACCACCAAAGTGTGGCCTTTTGTTTCCAAAACAGCATCTGAACAATGAGAAAAACACATTATATATCATACTGTATGTGGTATTGGCTATTGTTGATGTGGGATTTATTTCTTCTTCTAGGGTACAACAGGTGAGCAGGGAGCTCCCGGAATCGTTGGACCGAGCGGCCCAAGGGTAAATGCTACAGTTCCATTTGTCTCAGGACAAAAACATAGCTTTCTGAATTTTGCCTTTTGAAAAATTACAAAATGTCTGTCATTGGAAAAAATGCCATATACTGTATATTGTAGTTTCTTGCTAGAGTTTATTTTGTAACCAAATTGCCAGTTTTGAGGCTAAAATCTAACACTTTACTGGAATATGATTCAGGGGCCTCCTGGACCTATTGGGCCTCCTGGAAAGGAAGGATACATTGGACAGCCAGGGCCAATGGGACCTCCTGGAACTCGTGGAATCAGTGGCGAAATTGGACCAGAGGTACAAACGAGCTTCTCAATGTGTGTACAGTTTGTTGAACTAATGAAAGTGTGAAGCAAATTTACTAAGAACAGCAGGAGCTTGTATGAATTACTAACTGGTTTTCCATCTTTAGCCAGTGACTAAAAACAAAACAAAAAAAAATTACAGAAAAATAAAATTCTCTTCTACTCCTAAATCCACAGGGCCCTCCAGGGGAGCCCGGACCCCCAGGACCTCCAGGACCACCAGGCCCTCCCGTTGCTGCTATAGACGACCTCTTTGGTGGCCCTCAGGATTATGACTCTGACCCTCCCCCTCCCCCTGAGTTCAGCAAAGATGAGGCTCAGCCTAAAAGCAACTCTTCCACCGTAGTGCCTGTTGACCCTGGGGTCCAGGCCACACTGAAGGCCCTCAGCAGCCAGATCGACAGCATGAAGAGCCCAGACGGCAGCAGAAAACATCCCGCTAGGACCTGTGACGACCTGAAGAGATGCTACCCCGCGAAGAAGAGTGGTGAGTGTCTGTGACAGTGAGAAGAATGGATGGGAAATTTTCTACACTCGTCATGCAAAACAGCAAAACGAAAACACACATTAGGGATGATAAGTCCTATATGGAATCAATATGAATTTAGCCTTTTAGCCTTCTTATATTCAGCATTTATCCTCTAGTTGAATGTTTTTCCTGTCTGTCTTCCTAGTGCTTCATCATATACCAGGGCATAAGGCTCTGAATTGTTGACTAAAAACTGCAGAACACTACAGTTGACAGCATTTGCCCAAAATGCAAAGTTCTGCTACAGTACATCCTGATCATTTTGTTGTGTAGGTGAATACTGGGTGGATCCAAACCAAGGCAGTGTGGAGGATGCCATCAAAGTGCACTGCAACATGGACACGGGAGAGACCTGCATCTCCGCCAGCCCGTCCAGCATGCCCCGTAAAGTGTGGTGGAGCTCTTCCAGGAACAAACCTGTGTGGTTCGGAGCTGACATCAACAGTGGAAAGCATGTGAGCAGTTACATGTCGGTGGTGGGAGGGAGAGGGAATCAGGGTTGTGCAGTCACGAGTTCTAGTTTGTAACCTAAATGTACACCAAAATCTCTCACTCGTGTATTATTAGAAGCACATCTGGGTTTACCTATGCATTTTTTGATAAGGTGTGGGTTCTTAACTAGCTATATTTGTGTTTTTAGTTCACTTATGGCAACAAGGATCAGGCAGCAAACTCTGTCACAGTCCAGATGACCTTCATCCGCCTGCTGTCCAAGGAGGCTTCCCAGACCATCACCTACCACTGCAAGAACTCTGTGGGGTATAAGGATGAGAGGACGGGCAACTTAAAGAAAGCTGTGATCCTCAAAGGCTCCAATGACCTGGAGCTCAAAGCAGAGGGAAACAACCGCTTCAGATACACAGTACTCGAGGACTCCTGCTCAGTAAGTTACAACATTTCACCAGCAGCTTTTTTCACATATTCATTAATGGCCTCATCTAACAAAGGTACTGTAGGTACTGTACTCTGTCTCCCAGTGCTTTATTACATCTTTAAAACACTGGCAGTATCTTTTCCTTTTTTAAAAAAACAGCAAAATAATTTCCCAAACTAGCGGGACACTAGTGTCATCGTTGTGAATTATCACCCACTCTGCATTTCCCCTTTGTTCTATGATGCATTTAACCAGTTTCAGCTCATTGTGTAGGTTTTACGGACCATCTGTTGTCATCAGCTTTTAGCTAAAATCCAATAAACCGGCAGCACACTGCATGCAGCAGGGGCAGCACAGTGTCACAGTGGTCAGCACTGTCACCTTACAGCAGATCTGGGCTTGAACCTCTGGCCTTTCTAAGTGTAGTTGAAATGTTCTCCCTGTGCCTGTGTGTGTTCCCTCTGGGCACTCGGGCTTCTTTCCACAGTCTAAAGACACGCAGCTTAGGTCAATAGCCCATGGGGGGGGGGGGTCCGACATTAAACACTAGATGCAGTACCAAACAGCAGTCAGACACAGTTAGTAGTTTTTACATATTATATGTGTGATGCAGTGAAGCAGGATCCAGCACAGAACACACTCTCTGAAACACTGATTACTGTTTGAGGTGTTCTGCTTTCTGTTGGAGAACTGTGAAACTACTAAACTTCCTTTTGTCTCCATTTCACAGCAAGCAAATGGCAAATGGGGCAAGACAGTGTTTGAGTACAGGACACAGAAAACAGCAAGACTTCCCATTGTGGATATTGCCCCTGTGGACATTGGTGGTCTAGATCAAGAGTTCGGCATCGATATTGGGCCCGTGTGCTTCTTGTAGAATCGTCAGCAGGGATGCGTCGAGGAGAATCCTGAGACTATTGAACTGACAGCTGACACGATCAGCCACATTGTACATACGAGTACTGAGAACTATTCTGGCCCTGTGGCAAGATATTTATTGTGCCTTTTGACCCAGTTCAATACATAGATTTGTAAGTTTAGATGAATGTTTGGAATTTACATAAGAAATTTGGTAAAAATCATAATCATTCCTTTGTCTTCGTGTCAACATTTGCCATATGGTTCAAATATTTCAAGTTTGGTCCAAGGAGGCTCCCTTTATTTTTATTTCACAAGCCATTGCCAAAGATTTTTGAATATACAACTTTAAAATGTTAATTGTAACTGCTGTTCATAGGCCCAGAAGAATCCCACCACTACTCATTTTTACTGATTTGTCTGTTCTTTTTTATGTTAAATGTTTGAATATAAAACAACATTGTGGTGCTATTGAGGAAACAAATACAGCTGATGATGCATTCACCAGCACAGATATTTTAAGACAGTTTTGATGAACCAATGTATCCAGTTCTTTTAAACTCTGTACCAACCACACAGAACATTAAAGACACATTAAGACTGTCAATTCCTCAGTGTTACTGTAGCTACCTCGTCACCGAAACTGAGAAAATGATGACAATACATGTAAATCATTTTTTTTTTCCACAGGTGCTGTTTTGTAAGTAGTGTGATCCTTGTGCACGTCTCCCAGCTACACGGTACAGGGCAGGGTTTGGTGATCAATAAAAACCTTTCTGTCAAAGATGGAGAGATGAACGAGGTGTCATATGAGTGGTGTGTGTGGTGATTTGTAACTTTTTATTTCCAATCCTTCAGCTTCAGTATCGTACAGTAAAAGGTAGCACAGAATATTTTATTCTTATGCATGTCATTTCCCTCTTTGCAGTATCTTGGACTTATATACTCCTGAAATCCTTTTATCATCTGCTTTACAGAACAAGATGGCTGTGAATGCCTGTTTGCTTTGTATCTCATGCTATGCAATTAAACAAAATGCTTGTTAATCCCCCCAAAGCTCTCGTCATATTACTTCAGGTAAAGCTAGGTCTTTTACGCTTGTTATTTTGCACACAGACTTAGATTTTTATAGTTAAAAAAAGTACTTGAGATAATTATAGTTGTTTTTAATGTAAGCTGTTTGTTTTAAATCTGTATGAATGTGCATTCAAGTAATACTATTGTGACCATCTGGTTTATATTTGAATATATTTATTACAAGATGTGTAAAAATTTGCAAGACCTGACTGCCTGCTAACACCCCAGAGGCAGAGACGGGGAGGAGGAGAAGGAGGTGGGGGGCTTTCCACACTGGAAGCAGATGCATTTCATCCTTTGAAAATAAATATTGAAAATACTTCTCTCTGCCTGTTCTTGTCTGAGGAGAGTTTCTTAAAAATCAGTACTATAATAGAGTAATGTCAATCTGAACTCGTGAGGCATATAAACAGAAAATCAGTGAAGGTAGGAAAATGTGATACCTGACCACAAGATTAATATCAATGTAGCTGAGTAAGCAGGACAATGGCAGAGTGGACTGTTCCTGAAACCTCACCCACATTACAAATCTCACAAGTATCTGCAAAACATTCAAATGAGAATCCTGAGCCATGCTAGCAGCTCTGTGAGGCTGCTTTTACACACAGCAGCGCTTTGAGCTACATGCTAACGTGCTCACAACATGCTGATGTTTAGCAGTTCATATTTAGTTTAGCATGCTTTGCAGGTACAATATGTGGTCATAGGGAGATGTTATTGTAATACATTTGATAGTCTGGAACCACCAAGCGTGGGCTCTAGCAGCCAACGTGGCCACACTGATAGAGTGGGTCATTCTGAATCGAAGAGAAAACATCTCAAACACAAAATCAATAAACAACAGCTGAATAAAGTCACACAAGAAAAAAATTACATGGCAGAATCAATGAGTTACATTTTCCAGTAGAATTTTCTTTAATAACTGTAACAGCAAAGTCAATGCAAAAAAGGTAAAACAACGCCAATAGTACGGTGCATGGACAGAGGCTGTCCAAAAAGTGTCTTGAGCTGCAAGAAAAGAGGAGGCTAAAATGATGATAATATAAAAGTATGACAAGTAAATACTGAAATGGCAACTCAGACTTGTGAAATGCAAAGAACAAAAAAAATCTAAAGCAATAAGTGGAAAGTTCAGTAAAGCTGAACAATATCCATCTGGATTAATTGGCTACATAACGTGTGACTTCCTGTTGAGTAAAGCTATGTGGTGTTATGGGCAAGCTTGTGTAAATGATACAGATTCCATGTTCTGGCCAGCTTGTGTTTAGCATCCAAACAGGAATGTGTCAACAATACAGAATTCAATGGATGCATACACACAAACTCCCCTAGGAAAATCCTGCCACATTGTACCATGGAACATATTAGAGTATTTACATCTCTCACTGCCTGTGCAAGCATAGGTACTCAAAACTACTCCTTCTATCAAGTTCTTTTTAAAAATACAAAAATAGTTCTTTTTCTATAATGGATTTGAGTTTACCTTGAAGTATTGAAAAACCAATCTAAATGTAAATGTATATAAACCTCAAGATGAAAACGGTGACATCCTGACTCGACTGTGGAGTGAAATTTGGCACTTCTTCATACAAACAAGTTAAAAGTACGTGACAAAGAGCATCTTCTTGGCATCAGCAGCGGTTGTCTAGCGGGTCCAGAGAGAAGACGGTGCCCTCTAAGGTTAGTCCCATTTTGAACCCCTCCTGGAAAACAGGCCAGACAACAGCTGTGACATTCAGCGACCACACACATTGACTGACTCTCTGTGAGATTACATTTCCCAGTGTTGTTGATAAACAGTGTGATTGAAAGGGAAAAAAGTCCACAGACCTCTGAGGTTTAAAAGAATGAAATGCCAACCAAAACAAAGACTACGACACTGCTTCTCCATCATGTATTACACACAAGATCATAAACAACAAGGCATGCATCCAGATGGAGGAGGCACTGACACATTTACAATGGCAAGAAAAAGGTAATGAATCATCTGCATTTTGTATACATTTGTCTTAAACCAAGAGTCCATTTTAACTAATAACACAGAGACCATTGGATTGTCCTAGTTCATACCGTACACATCATTCAATCTTTATCAGTATAGGCCAGAAAATCTATATGAACCATTAAGCTAATGACAGTAACGAAGCGGCTGGGATGAGAATCAGCACCTCCAAATCCGAGGCCATGGTTCTCAGTCTGAAAAGGGTGGCTTGTTCCCTTCAGGTTGGTGGAGAGTTCCTGCCTCAAGTGGAGGAGTTCAAGTATCTTGGGGTCTTGTTCACGAGTGAGGGAAGGATGGAACGGGAGATTGACAGGCGGATCGGAGCAGCTTCTGCAGTAATGCGGTCGATGTACCGGTCCGTCGTGGTGAAGAAGGAGCTGAGCTGTAAGGCGAAGCTCTCGATTTACTGGTCAATCTACGTTCCGACTCTCACCTATGGTCATGAACTTTGGGTCATGACCAAAAGGGCAAGATCCCGGATACAGGCAGCCGAAATGAGCTTTCTCCGCAGGGAGGCCGGGCACACCCTTAGAGATAGGGTGAGGAGCTCGGTCACCCGGGAGGAGCTCAGAGTAGAACCGCTGCTCCACCACATCATGCGGAGCCAGCTGAGGTGGCTCGGGCATCTCTTTCGGATGCCTTTTTTCCCCCGGAGGAGCTGGAGGAAGTGTCTGGAGAGAGGGAGGTCTGGGCATCTTTGCTTAGACTGCTGCCCCCGCGACCCGGCCCCGGATAAGCGGAAGAAAATGGATGGATGGACAGTAATGAACGCTAAATGGAATCAGGAGTTTGAAAAGCAGGATTCCAATCAGTGAAACCAGATTTGAGCTGTGGTTAGAGCCACTGACGCAACAGAGATCTCAACAGACCTGCGATCAAGAACTGGTGATCTGCATAAAGATGGAAAGGTTCAGACATGGCACATATAGCATGGAGTCCATGGCTCGACAGCACAGAGGAAGCTGCTGTTCTCCAAAGACACCCTGACACTCCCCCTGACACTTCGGGGAAAATGTTTTGTGGACTGATGAAACTAAGGCTGAATTGTTTGGGAAGCACATGCAGCAGTATGTCTGGTGTAAAGACATAACAACATGAATATATTTTCCAAACACGCACCAGAGCTGAAGGTGAAGAAGAGGGGTCCAAATTTCCTCCTGAACTTTGTGCAGCTTGTTTGAGATTATTGGTGCTTAATAGCAGGCTCAACCAGTTATTTATTCTTTTTCCCACCAGCACTGTGGATGTTTAATGAGTATGCTCAGGTGTTTGTGTGTTATTAGCTTAAGCACATTGTGCATCTCACACATTTTAGGACCAATTAATGCAGGAAACCAGGTAAATTCCAAAGGCTTCACATACTGTTTCTTGCCACTTGTAATTGTTAATGTGCTCTTTACTTGTAAACTATTATTAAAGTAATGCAAAGGTAAGTGATATATAATGCAGCTCTATCACTTGTATCTGTAAAACAAACATTTAAGCAAACAGTACACGATACACACACTCACTTTAGGTGCCAAGTCAGTTGTTGGCATAAAAGAGAAAAGAGATGCTCACCAGCTACAGAGCAGGACAGCTGAGAGAATAAATAAAGTGCTGACTAATGACACTTCCACAGATGTACTATGCATCACAGTGGACTGTAAATGTGAGCGCATGCAGCAGCGATCAAAGCATGCAAACACAGTGACACGGACAGAGAGCAGAGTACCAACCATCTCTGACGCTACAAGTGGAAAGGACAAGAGATGAATTCAGCTGTTAATAACTAAGAGAAGCTGCAGGAAAGGTTTGCAATGCAAAGAAAAACTGTGAGAAACATCGCCTCCTACTGGCAACGCACTGCAATGGCTCATCAGAAAGTATCAGTTGTAATTCAAAACCTGGGAATTTTGTTTCACAGAGAAAGATTGAATGCTGAAACTGAACAATTAAAATGATTAAAGTCCGGCCAAGCAGTCTTTACAGACACATTAATATGATTGATTCTGATATTAGCTACCATCTACGGCTGATTTTAACTGTATGAAAAGTTTCTCACTCAGCCCATTAAATCTCTGCAGCATCTGAAGCCAGACACAGTTACAACCCCAAATCAGAAAACGTTGGGACGGTATGTAAAATCTAAATTATAACTGAGCCTGCATTACACTGAAGACAATACAGCAGCACATTATTTGATGTGATACAACTATCCATGGTGTTTACTTTGATTAAATCATGAGCAATGACAACTGCACAATACTAACTGAATGTTATTTCACTGAGATAATATTAGCAACGACATGAAGCGGCTAACGCCGGTCACCTGACTACACACATTAGGCCCATGCTAAGGACAGAAAGCTCCCACGTTACACTCTAAATGAACCTGAGTGCAAGAGGGGGCGGCTGGACTGTGACACTTAACTGTACTCTAAGTTATTTACAGCTGCTCGCTTACAGTTCACACCAGACCAATTAAGACCAAAGTGTCCAGACATGACTCAGCAGCAGTGCCCACCACTATTTGACAATTTTATTGTCAGGCTCAGCTGAGTCATCACCCATGATGCACAAAGCCTTTGTTCATGTAAGCAAGGGGAACATTTTCATCTTCAAAATGCTGATATGGTTAATAAGGCAGACAGGAGACCACAGTTTAGCTAGAAACACAATATGGAGCAATCAGACGCAGACAGGTGCTCACCTGCATCTCATCCAGCTTTGACTGGATATCTGGAGGGAAGTCAGCTGCTCCACAGGTGAATGGGTCAAACGG